CCCTTATTAAATGATCCCAGCATTTTGGCATGGTCTTTGTAAATATGTAGATAATTTTCACTACTGTGAATATTTTAACAATATTCATTTTCCCAATCTATTTATTGAGAGATATGTTCAGGGACTTCAGTTTTGCTGTTGATTTTACTCTTTGATTTAAGAAATGGTTGTTCTTTCATTTCCATTTTTTTAAGTTAGAGTCTTATTGAATTGGTAAGTTGAACAAGATTAATTCTTCTCTTTCTTCTCTTCATCTCCTAAGATGTAGTCTTTCTGGGTCCAACTTATTGTGATTTCTTTATCATCTTTGGTTAGGATTCCTAAAAACCTCTTTTGTGGTGAAGAATAAAAGGATCATCAATAGAATTTTTCATGTTTTTGAAGGTCTGTCTTTCACCATTAATATTTCTAAATGATGTGACTACATAAATTCCACATGTTTACAAATATCAAGCCAAAAAAGAAACATAGCACCTTCTGGAGCTTTTATGCTTTCTTTTTAAGGGATTACCATAAATCAAATTAACTTGCTGATGTATGACAGTATATTAGAAAATTGAATTCTTCCCTAGAATTTTTTTCATTTTCTTAATTTTCCTTAATATGATTTTAGAAAAGACGTATTTTTCAATGCAAATCTTTCCTGCTGTTTATAACACCTTTCGATGGTTAATTTTTCTAAAGTTAGTGGTCCTGGAAAAGGGTTATGAGAAATAACAGGGAACTACTTTTCATGTCTTACTCCTCAGGAAATTGACTGCCAATCCTCATATTCTGTTCACCATCGCCAAGAGTTTAAGGAGATACTATGGAATCCTCTAGCCTACTAGCAATTTAGACATTCATTCTAATGTTATTTGTCTGGCAGAAGTAACATGGGGCATTTTCAAAAACGGATAGCTTCAAGGTTGCTTTATATCTTGCCTTTTAGTCAAAGGTGTGGATTTAATTCCCTTTCTATATCATAAATAGGGGAACATAAATTTGGATGTAGTATAAAGGGAAATTAGTGCTTTTTCTATTTATCAATGCATCTAATTTTCCATTGCTTCAGTAAGAATTTAGTTCTGCTGCCTACAACTTTTGCTACTGTTCTGGGAAGGATTTTTTCATTAATTTGCTTTTTCTGAGAAGAGGATTATTCTCATGTGTGCTATTGTTTTCAATGATTCTTGCTCTCACAACGTAAGACATTAACTGAGTAAGGTTATCCTGCAACAGAAAGAAAGAATATCAACTTTAGCGTGATAATAGGATTTACTTTGCTTCTTGTAGCATTTACAAGAGCAACCTACAGACATGGATTGGTTGGTTATTCATGAGAAAATGTCTCATGTTTCAAGAACAAGTTATTTGAAAAAGGGGAAATGCAAGTTCTCTTTGTTCTCTTATGAGAGTATAAATCTAATTCATGAGAAACACTTTCATGATC